TTTGAATGGTCAATATTTATGAAAGCATGAGATGTAACCTAATTTTTATCTCCTCACTGTTTTGCAACACGCTTGTTTTTAACCAGGCAGGGGTCTCTCAATCAGTTCCTTCCAGACCAGGATGTAAGGGATCTGGTCCTGGTTTCCTCCTGGTACTGCAAAGAAACTTCTACCTTTAGTTTTTTAGAACGGTCCCCAGCTCAAAGGTACCTTAAGTGGGTCAGCCAATGTTGAAGGCTGCATAACAAGACAATTCTGCAGAACAAAAAGTTTTAAGTTTACTCTTTTTAACCTCCAAGGGCAGATTACGAGCTCTGCTTTTAAAATCCGAGAAATGATCGGTAAAAAGAGACTGGGGTGGGGCTGGAGCAATAGCACACCCGGTAGGGTGTTTGTTTGCCTTGCACGCACCCTTCCTAGATTCGATTCCCAGCATTCCATATGGTCCCCTGAGCACTGCCAGGAGTAATTCCTGAGTGCATGAACCAGGGGTAATTCCTGTGCATCGCCGGGTGTGACCCAAAAAGCAAAAAAAAAAAAAAAAAAAAAGAGACTGGGGTGTTGTCTGTCCCTGGTCATGTTCCTAGGGAGAAAGTGAGTGATTAATGGTCTGAAAACAGAACAAAGACACAGACTCAAGACATACTCAGGTACTCAAATATGCCACGAAGAAGATAGACAAATATCAGCCACTAGTCCTCAGTGCACTGTACCTAACCCCACTTCTCGGGCGGTCCCTCTGTGAGCAAGCTTACTGAATGGCGTCCACCGTTCTGGGGTTTCTGGGGGGGGGGCACTGGGGGTGTCTCCCACACTGCCCAACTGGCGACTTCTTCCTATGCAGGTCCTCTGTACTTGGGCCCTTCCTCCGACCCTCCTGTCAGACACTGAGACGGTCAGTCTGACAAACCACCCTTCAGCCGCCTCTCCCTGAGACGATCTTCCCCAGCAGCCTCACCCCAAGGTGACCGTCACCCAATCACCTCTTCCCGAGATGACCTTCACTTAGCTGCTGCTTCCAGGGCAACCTGCCCCATGGAAAATCTGACAATCCTCACAGTGATGATTAGGAAGAAGAGTGAGGACCACGTGATCTGGGGGGGTCACAGCACAAGCCAAAATCCCAGAGGACGAGCCTCCATATGTTATGTCCTGGGAAGGGAGTTTTGCCTGCACATTGACCAGACCAGATGCAAGGATACAAAGGCAAGGCCCCTTTATCACTAACTCGAGCTAGGGTCCAAGTCTCATCCAACACAGTGGAGTGTTGACAAGGACCCCGACTCCGAATTCTGCGCAGTTTATATAGGATTTGGTTACATAACAGCATTTTTCTAGGAATTGGCAGTACATTTTCAATCCTGGTCCCTGTCCAGTCCCGTGACCCCACTCCCTAGGCCCTCTCTACTTGGCTGGGCACCACTGCCCATACCCCCTACTCTGATAGGCTGTTGCCACGGGGCTGTTTATCTGCCCAAGTTGATATTGTTTCCTCAGAAGTCAGGACTATCGTTCTTTTTTATTTTTTTTATTTTATTTATTTATTTATTTTGCTTTTTGGGTCACACACGGCGATGCTCAGGGGTTACTCCTGGCTCATGCACTCAGGAATCACTCCTGGCTGTGCTCAGGGGACCAAATGGGATGCTGGGAATCGAACCTGTGTTGGCCATGTTGGCTGTGTGCAAGGCAAATGCCCTACCCGCTGTGCTATCACTCCAGCCCCATGAGTTTTGTTCTTAAAGCAGAGCCTGTCATGGCTCCTCTTCAGCCTCACACCATCCTCACCACCTTATACTATCCCCAAAATACTATTAGGTGCCATCCTTGAGCACAGTGCCGAGATAAACCTTGAGCAACCCCGAATGTGACAACCCTCCCCCCAAAAAAGAAAAACAAAACAAGAAAAAAATGTTGCATTCTCCCTAGCCACACTAGCAGTGGGATGGGCACCTGGAATGCCCATGTGCCCCTGATTACTGAGGGCAGACTCGGCTGAGAATAGAGCCAGAACCAAAATAAGGAAAGTTCCTGCTTTACACCACACTTGGGGCTCCCAGATCTAATCAAATCTGACGGCCTTCTTCTCGCCTTACTGGGGCATTTTTAGCAGCTGCAATGGCGAGAGCTTGGGTTCAGCCCCTGGAAAGGCCTTTCTGAGAGTCCAGGCAGAGGCCTCGGGTGGAGTCTGGGAGCATCTCATGGCTGAGGGGTACTTCCCCAGGGACTCTACCAACAGAGACAGTCCTGCTCTGCACCTCCTGGGTGTCTCTGTGCTCTCCACTGGTCCTTACCTGGGATCAGGACTCTCATGGCTGCCTGGCCTATCCCCAGGTCATTGGAGACGCGGCAGATGAAGGTCGTGTTGATGGACTCCTCAGTGGGGTGAATCAGGAGCCAGGAGCCCTGGGGTACAGCAGAGGGTGGCAGAGGGCCTGTGGTCCTGGGGGTGAGAACACGGCCTCTGTTGGAGCCCAGAGTGACAGGGACTGAGGAACTCTAGCACCTCGCCCTGTATGACCCAAGTTGGCAGGTACCTGGATTCCCCCCGACTCTCCCTCTCACACCCCTATTACTGCTCAGCAGGTCCTGGGACCCACCTTCAGAATCCATCCAGAACCTTCTAGTCCTCAGGGCCTGTGTGACCCCCATTCTGACCCCTGTCCCCTGGCTCCTGCTCCCCCCAACATACACCTGGTGGCCTGAGAGAACTTGCTGAAACAGAGCTCCAGACACTCCTCTGCTGAGTTTTGTTCTTTTGACGACCAGTGGAATCCAGTTGGTAACGGCTCTAGTCCAGCAGTCTTCTCCAAATCTCATTACATGTCCAGCAAATTTGATTTTTGATGCCTTGGCAAACGAGACAGCGTCCCTGATTCTTGACCTTCGACGGAGGTCGGAACTCCGGATTCTTTCTCTCATTCGAGTGAAGCGTGATACTACAGGCATAGCACTTTTTATTACTCTTCGGGAGACCCGAATAGTGTTCTTATCCTGTTTTCATAGTACCTAGGTCTCTGAGGCATATGTTAATGCAGGAAGAACAGTGGAATCGAAGATATGTGCCCAGAGCCGGAGGTTCTTCGTCCTCTTAGCTATTTCTTTGACTCTGCCCACAGTCAAGTCAGTCTAATAGGGGTCAGAGGTGACTCTCTCTCTCTCTCTCTCTCTCTCTCTTTCACTCTCTCTCTCTCTGGATCCCTCTGCCTTCCCTTACTTGCAGACCAGAAGTCATCCCCAGCCTCCTCCCTCAGACCCAGTAGTTTATTTTCTAGCCTCCCCTCTCAAACCCAAGAGTTCAGGGCCACAGAGATAGCAGGTAGGGCATGTGACCAACCTATATTTGACCCCTAAGACCCCATACAATTCCCAGAGACCCACCAGGAGTAATCCTGGATTGCACAGCCATGAATAAGCCCTAGCACTGCTGCGTTTGGGCCTCTGAAACAAACAAAAATACCCAAAACAGACCAAGGAGTTCATGCCTTACTCCTTCCTCCCTCTCCCTAATAAGTCTGTCTTGAAATCCTTCCTCCCTTAGATCCACGTATCCATCATATACCTCCTCCCTCAGACCCAGGAGTCCAACCCCAGCCTTTTCCCTAGGAACCACTAGTCATCCCAAGTTCCTTCTCCCTCAGAGCTATAATTGAATACCCATCTCCTCCCTCAGACCCAGGATTCCATGCTCAGCCTCCTCCCTCAGACCAGGAGTGCATCCCAGCCTCCGCCCTAAACCCTGGCTCCCAGCACCTCTTTCCTCAGGTATAGGAGTCCAGGTAAGCCTCTCTTTTCCTTCACCTTAGAGTTTGGGCACCCAGACCCTGTCCCCAATGGTTGGGAGTTCATCCCTAGACTCCCTGCTCAGACATGATTGTCCATCCCCAGCCTCCCTTCTCAGACCCGGATCAACCCCAGGACTCACGTGCTCCAGTCATAACTCTTGGGCTCTGGGTTGCTGCGGGCGTCACAGGTCAGTCTGGTTTCCCTGCGGCCCTGCTGCCCGATGTCATCATAAAGGGCGATGGAGACCTGGGGGGAGTCTGCTGGGGGACAGGGACAGACACAAGGACACCCTTCTATTACTGCTCAGCCTGAGGGGCCAACACTTGAAGAGAAGAGCCCCTCCCACATTTCACACAGGCAACATGAGGGGCAGATGAGTCTGGGCGACATGACATGACCCTGAGTCATTCAGGTTATCTTGGAAAGGGTCAGGGTCTCGTTCTCACTTTAGTGACCTGGGGACAGATGTCAAATGTGCTCATGACCTTGGGGCCCATACCCTGTTCTGTAGCATCACATGCTTGGGAATTTCTGCTCTGCTCCCTCTTGCCAGTGCCTGCATGTAGGGTGCTGCAGGGGATCATTGTATAATTGAAACTCAAACATGAAAGCTTTGCAACTGTATCTCACGGTGGGTTTATTAAAAAAAAAAAAGTTGGAGGAGGCAGCAAAGGACAGCGGTGGTGGTAACCCATGTATAGAAAAGTCTTGATGTAATGGGGTTGTTGGTGCCCACATGTAGACAATGAGGGTGGGTGTGCTGGTGTAGGTGGTGGGGTCATAGCAGTGCTGCTGTCACTATTTTTGAGACAGGAACTGAGCATGCGCATCTCAGCTCTCAGTCTTTGTCCTGGATAAACTCAGGGCCCACTGGGAAAAGTTACTTCAGGTCCCCAACCTGGCTCCGAATAACTGCCCTGGCCCAGGCAAAAACCAAACCAACAAATGCCCCCCTCCCCCACCACCACCCACAAAAGTCACCAAGATCTTCTGCAAGAACCAAATGATCTACTGTCTCCCGACCCACAACAAGGACCTATATGCATCTCCAGCCCCCCCCCCCATTGTTGTTGTTTTACCTCCTTGAGTCTCATCCTGCCCCTTCCCTCTCTGAATCCTTCCCTCCCCTATCTACCCGCTAGTCCCGCCCCCCCAAGAAGTCCCGCCCACTGTCATGCTGCTACACTACCAGGAGCCCTACCCCTCACACTCACAGAACACACGTAGCCAGGTAAGCGCACTTCCCATCTGGGACGTGCTGATGTGGACCTCGCAGGTGTAATTGGCTTCATCCCCAGGGCTCAGCTCACGAATGGTCAGCGAGGCGTCCAGCAGGTCCGCACCCAACCTGGCGGCCTTGAACTCCACACGGTCGGGCTCTGGGATGATGGGGCCCTGCTCCCAGTAGAACTCGGCCACAATGCTGGGGTCCCCCAGAGGGTCCAGCCGCTTCCACCTGATCTCAGTCACCTGTGGGATTTCTGACTCCAGAGGTTGTAAGTGACATGGCAGGGACACAGTGCTGCCCAGGGAGCCATGTACCTCTGTGGGCGCCTGCACGACCACTTTCCTGGCCCCTGTGAGGGAAACGTGGAAGGAGAGAGGAGTCAGGCTGAGGGATTGCAGATACCAGGACCCAGGTTATGATGGGGAGAGCCCGGGGAAGTCAACAGGATGGAGAGTGTGGGGTTGAGGGTTGAGTTGGGGGAGGGTGGACGAGGGAACCACATCCGTGTACTGTGGGTGCATGTGCTGCTTTGGGCTGTGACCAGATTTTATATAACCAAGTTTCATACATTTTAAATTTTGAAAAAATAATTGCAGTAAAAAAGTTCCATGTGGGGGACCAGAACTATTCCAGAGGGTTGGGTGCTTGCATTGATACTTGACTGACCCAGGTTCAATTCCCAGCATCCCATATGGTCCCCTGAGCTCACCAAGAGTGATCTCTGAGTAGAGAGCCAGCCAGGAGCAACCCTTGAGAATTGCTAGATATAGAAAGAAAGAAAGAAAGAAAGAAAGAAAGAAAGAAAGAAAGAAAGAAAGAAAGAGATGTGTTGATGCAGAGATAGTACAGCAGATAGACCACTTGCCTTGCACCTGGTTGATCCATTTTTTTAAAATTTTTATTAGTGAAACACCATGAGGTACAGTTGTAGACTTACAAATTTTTGTGCTTGGGTTTCAGTTATACAATGATCTGGTACCCATCCCTCTACCAGTTCCCATTTTCCACCACCACGGGTCCCAGTATTCCTCCCACCCCCATCCCCCCCCCCATCCTACCCTACCTCTGTGGCAGGGCATTCCCTTTTATTCTCTCTCTCCTTTTGGATGTTATGGTTCTGGTCGATCCAATTTTGATCCACATCATTCCATATGGCTCCCTGGGGACTGCCAGGAGTAATTCCTGAGTGTAGAGCCAGTAGTAACCCATGAGTATTGCAGGGTGTTCCTCAAAAACAAAAAAACAAGAATTCCAGAGACCAGAGCACTAGTACAGTGAGACTAGGGCATTTCCCTTGCAGTTGGCTGACCCTGATTCAAACTCAGCTTCCCATTTGGTCCCCTGAGCACTTTCAGGAGAAATTCCTGAGTACAGAGCCAGAAGTAAGCCCTGAGTTCCACCAGGTATTGTGAATAGATGACCCAAAGTTAGCAGAAAAAACACGAGTTGCTCAAAAGAAGAACCAAGAAACAGGATTGGACACTGCAGGGATGCAGGGACCCAGGGGCAGGGAATCTTGAGAACAACCTGGGAATAGCCTGTGTGCTCCAGACTTCTTGGCTACTCTCTCACCCCACAACAGTATGGCCCAAAACCATAAACATAAAATAAGAAAGAAAGAAAAAGAGAAGGAGAAAGAGAGCTCTGCTGGGAGACAGAAGACTGGATCCTGGGCCTCTCTAGTTCTTTCCTAGTTAGTGAAAAGGGATGAGGACAGCGAGCACTCTCGAAGGCTCCCAGTCATAGCTGTTCCAGGGCTACCCCCATCTCAGCCCTTGGTCTCCCAGCAGCTCCCTGAGCCAAGATCCCTCCAGCCCACACCTGTTCTTTCCAGAGGCCAGGACATGCTTCACCTTCACTGCACCTCACTTTTGCTGTTTCTCTGACTTCTGAGACTGGGGAGTGTGTTTCTCACACCATCACCCGTGGATTCTGGTGACATGCATACCAACAGGGCAGAGCACTCACCTTCCCCTGTGCTGTTGGGGGCCTGAGTGTAAGAGGAGCCCAACACAGGCTTGGAGCAGCTTGGTGGGGGCAGAGAAAGCTGGTTTCACTTTCTTTTTCTCCTCTGGGAAACAGGGATGTTTCTCTAAAGCTAAAAATAGGGCAATCCAGCACAGACAAATAACTCAAAACCTGGGCTGCTCCCACAAACCATGTCCATAAACACATAGGCTTATCTTTACCCTTTTTCCAGAGACACATAAATATATCACTTAATCACTTAATCACTTAACTTCCCGTTAGTCGTCGATTTGCTCGAGCGGGCGCCAGTAACGTCTCCATTTGTCCCTGTCGCGTGCTAGTGTAGCCCAATGGCATCTGTTCGCTCCGGGAACATGAAGGGCCTCAAACCGATCGTTCATGATCTTGACGAAGAAGTCTGACCATCTGGTAGGTGGGCGGCCACGCGGTCTTTTGACATCCCGTGGAATCCAATCAGTAACAGCTCTAGTCCAACGGTCGTCTTTAAATCTCATTACATGACCAGCCCATCTGATTTTCGACACCTTGGCAAATGAGACAGCGTCCCTGATCCTTGATCGTCGACGGATGTCAGAACTCCGGATTCGTTCTCTCATTTGAGTGAAACGTGATATTCCAAGCATAGCTCTTTCTATTCTTCTTTGGGAGACCTGAATAGCGTTCTCATCTTGTTTGCGTAGGGCCCAGGTCTCTGAGGCATATGTTAATGCAGGAAGAACAGTGGAATCAAAGAGATGTGCCCGGAGCCGGAGGTTCTTCGTCCTCTTAGCTATTTCTTCGACGTTCTTGAAGGCGTTCCAAGCCTCTCTCTTCCTCCTGCGCAGCTCGGGTGCCAGGTCATTTGTCATGTTGACCTCTCAACCTAGGTAGACATAGCTGTTGCATTCGGAGATGGTCGTACCATTGAGAGCGAATGGGGCGTCAGGAACAAGGCTGTTTCTCATAAACATTGTCTTCATAAGATTCAGCTGTAGTCCTACCTTTCCACACTCACGGTCAAAGTCGGCCAGCATTTGTGCCGCTTGGCTGATGTTTGGTGTTATTAAAACAATGTCATCAGCAAAGCGGAGGTGGTGTAATTGCCGACCATCTATCTTCACTCCCATTCCTTCCCATTCCAGTCGTCGCATGATGTTCTCGAGGGTGGCACTGAAGAGTTTCGGTGAAATGGTATCACCCTGCCGCACCCCTCTCTTGACATCAACGATCACTTCTTTGTAGAATGGTGAGATCCTGGTAGTGAATCTGCAATAGAGCTCACGGAGGATCCTGATGTATTGGGCTTGAATGCCCTGATTGGCTAGGGCTTCAATGACCGCTTCCGTCTCAACAGAATCAAAGGCCTTCTTTAAATCAATGAACGTTAAACAGAGCGGCATCTTGAACTCCCGAGAAACCTCAATGAGCTTGGTTATCGTGTGGAACCAAATATATCACTAAAGGAATCAACTAGCTCTGAAAACTTTTCAGACCCTTTCCTTGCTGAGACACGGTGGATGGCCCTCCCTGTGTGGGAGACCAACTGACCTTACTTCCTTGAGAAAGCGGCACACTGTCTTTGACCCTGGCATCAGGAATGTGAGCCCCTTTGACAGGTAAGATGATGCGTGTTTACATGGCAGAAAAACAGGATGTGTGCAAAGGGGCTTAGGTGGAAAGCAGGATATGTGATCATCAGGTAGAGAGGCAGGATGTATGCTCACTTGGCATAAAAGCAAGTGCAGGACTTGGGGGATCAATAAAGAGGGTGGCCTACTGCTTATTTTTTTAGCTCCAGAATCAATCAGTTGTTTAACTATCATGTGATTCTGTTTTGAGTTTATTTTACTATTGTTCAACTATCTTTAGTTTTTTATTTGGGGGATTTCTATGTTAATCAGTGAATTGCTCACTTACTGTCTTACTAATATTCCTATTTTGTAATCTATAGATTGTTTTGCTAATTGCTTATCTTTGATTTCTGTATGTGGTTTACCTGCTAACTTAGCATAAGAATGAGAAGAGAAATGGGTCCATTTATGTGTCTGGAAGACACTTGGGGGGCTGCTCTCTTGTTCAAATACTGGGCAGAGACAACAGCCACTGATCAACTAATAATTGCTGACTGAAACTTTGCCATGCATGCCTTGCTCCCTCCACCTATAACACTCGGAGGGGTCAGGTCACTGCACATCCAAATAATATCCCAGCAGCTTCTCTTCTCCCATACCCATCACCTCAGGACTACTGAACCTCACAGTGAACTTAATTCTGCAAAACCTCAGGTAAATGGGTCCCTTTGGCTGAAAGTCCCCGGCCTTATGGAACTGGGGAGGGCTACTTCCCCCAACCTTCCGGTACTTCCAGAAACCCCTGCAATCTTGCCCACAAAAAGGCTCACTGCTGTACTATCTAAACACAGCAACCGTGACAAGTAATAACTCACCAGATTGGATGAGATGTAAAGTAATAGGTCACAGTCCTCCTGTTGTTCATCGATTTGCTCAAGCGGGCCCAGTAATGTCTCCATCATGAGACTTGTTGTTACTGTGTTTGGCATATCGAATATGTCACGGGTAGCTTGCCAGGCTCTGCCTTGCGGACGAGATACTCTCAGTATCTTGCCGGGCTCTCCGAGAGGGGTGGAGGAATCGAACTCAGGTCGGCCATGTTGGCTGCGTGCAAGGCAAATGCCCTACCGCTGTGCTAGAAGCCAACTAATCTGGATAACAAAACTATCAACATAGAAGCTGAAATTGTAACAGAATCATAATAATACCTTAGACAAGGACTTAATATCTGCATGATGAGATACAAAACGTTTCACTAATTTTCTTATAAGGAAATAGTTTTTGATCATTCTGTTAGCCCTTAATTGGTAACACGCAATATAAAAGAAATTACTGAGGGCCTGCTAAGGGGGCAGGTTTGACTGGTGGGAAAATAGACACAATGTTGGAGGGAAGGTGAGAGAGGTGGTGGAGGAATTGTATTGGAACATTGAATGCCTGTAACAATTCATCATATACAACTTTGTAAACCAGGATGGTGTTTAAAGTGTGTGACGGGGGAGAGGGGAGGAAGAATACAAGATCCTTTGCCAGATGGGCCCAGAAACACTCCATGTGGTAACTTCCCTGGGAAAGACTCTGAACCCCCTTCCAACTCTGCAAAAGATGCTCTGCATGTCTTGAACTCAAAGCCCTGCCCTTGTCTTTAGAGCACCTGGTGCCCAGCACCTGCTCAGACACCCTGGAACC